CTAGGACGGACGGTAGTGTGGGACTTAAAAATGTATGAAAGCACTTAAGATACTGAGAGCACCTGAGGCCAGCGTGTACTTTTGATGTGCGGATAGGCAGCCATATGTTCCTTCTGCCAGAGGTAAGGGACATGACTTTGGCAGATGGATCTGGTGTGACAAGTTTTCAATCTTGCCACTAGAAATCGTCTTGTAGATCAACTTGAGCTCCTTTCTGGACTGTGGACTGCCTGTTGCAGTTTGGGAAATTGGAGTTTCCTTTAGACCTGACAATTAAGTCTCCTTGAATCCAAAGTGAGCCAATGTTGTGCCCAAACTCTCAACCCCAATATCACCAAGAGACCCAATCCAATGCAAAAGCAAAGAGTGTTCAATTTACAGATTAACTCAGGTTCCCCTGTCCATCCAAAACATGGAGTGAAGCAGGAGGGACCTTGAGCAACAGTGGGCAGGGAATATATTGGGGTAGAGCAAAGGGAGTGGGGGTCGCTCTCTGCTAGTTGCATAGCAACAGTCTCAGGATTGGTGCACCTCTAGGCTTGGGCAACCTGTCCTGAGTTGATTGGTCAGCTGCAGCTGCAGAAAGGTTGCTATGCCTATAGGCCCTCCCAGGGTGATTGCTAAGCCCTGTATTCCACTGTTATCAGTAAATCACATCCAGAGCCCGCCAGCTAACTTCTGATTGGTTCCTTGCCACAAGGAGGGCTTCTGGTTCCTAGTGATTAGGGCAAGGTAGGGCAAGGTTGGGAGCTCATCTCTTGTTGCTGAGTCAGAGGCCTACATCTTGCAGGGTCTTTTCTAAAGCCTGTCATGGCTGCCCAAACAGGGGGCTGAGTGAGGGTCTGAGCCCTTCAGCCAACATTGTGATCTCAATCTATTATTGTAACTCAAGCAGTGTCTTATGAAGATCTTATGAAGTAAAACTTTTGTTTTTTGTTTTGTTTTTGAGACAGGGTTTCAATGTGTAGCTTTGGCTGTTCTGTGACTTGCTCTGTAGACAAAGCTGGCCTCCAACTCAGAGATCCACTTATCTCCTCCCAAGTGCTAGGATTGAAAAAGTGAGCCACAACTGCCAGACTTTAAAACTACTCTTTAAGCTTTGGGTAGAATGCTCTAGAAAGCATGAGCTTCAAGTGAACAAGTTTCTATATCCAATGAGATGGATGCATGGAGGAAAAAGGAAAAGTTTATTTCAAACAGCTAAGGCTATCTCTCAGGAAAGCATGTTGAAGAGACAGGGCAAAGATTTCCAGGGTTAAATGGGAACTGGAGGAAGGGGGCTTGTAAGCCCGAAGAAGGGAGCTTGAGGCCAGCCTTGACCTTGACAAGTTAATAGGTCAGTAATGAGTTAATGGAGCCACAAGTCCCTCTTGCTAGAGATAAGGGGAATGACTCCCTTGTAGCAAGTTCCTTCAGGGAGTGGAGGCTTTTGTCCTTGCTGGATTTCTTAAAAGAATAATTGAGAGACCAAAGACCAAAGAGAAGACTTAGTGGGTAAAGCACTTGCCATGCAAGCATGAGAAATTGACTTTGGATCCTTATCTCATGTGAAGTGGCCCTATAACCCTAGTGCTCCTAAAAAGAGATAGGAGGCAGAGATAGGACAATTCCCAGAAGCCTGTGGACCAGCTACCCTGATGTACATAGTGCCAAATAGCAAGAAATTCATTTTTAAAAAGGTGGAAGTCAGGAGACAGATACCCGAGTCTGTTCTATTGGAACATGCATGCTGGAGCACGCACACACACACACACACACACACACACACACACACACACACACACACACACACACCATGACCACCATCAACATAAACGAAAAGTAGAAGAAACCATCCTGAGTGAGGTAACCCAGTCACAAAAAGAGAAACATGGCATGTACTCTCTCATATATGGATTTTAGACATAGATCTGGGGAGTGCCAGCCTACAATCCCATGGCCAGAGAGTCTGGGAAACAGAAACTTCATTCAGTGGCTGATGGAAGAAGAGGCACACTCCCATGGCTAAGCACTGAACTGAACTCAAGAAATCCAGTGAGAGAGAGAGAGGACTGATGACCAAAGGGGTTAAGACTGGGCTGGTTTAACCACCAGAAACACTTGACCTGACAAGTGTTAGCTCTTGAATCCCAGACTGATGCCTGGGAATCCAGCATGGGACTGATCAAGACCCCCTGAATGTGGGTGTCAGTGAGGAGCCCTAGGGTAACCTATTGAGCCTTGGGTAGTAGATCAGTATTTATCCCGGGTATACAAATGGACTTTGGACTCCCATCCGACAATGAGAGATGCACTCTCACCCTGAACTCTTGGGGAAGTGTCTAGACCCTGCCCTGGATGAAATGACAGACTATGGACATCCCCATGGAGGGCCTCACCCTCCCTGGGGAAATGAGGGGATACTGGGGGGGGGGGAGGGCACGGGAGGAGGGGAGGAAAACGGAGAGGGACCTGGAATTGACTCGTGAAGCATCCTTGTTTCTAATTTAAATTTAAAAATAATATATATATATATAAATTATATATATATAGTACATATATATAATCCATATTGAGGTTGTAGATACCTGGAATTAAATTTAAAGATTAAATGTAAATCATTTTTTAATTGCGTTTACTCTTTTTTACTTGAGCTGTCATCAAACAGGAAAACTTAGCATGCATTGTTTCACTTATGCTAAATTCTGTGTTTTGTTTTTTAGTTTCCTCTTTTGTCAATTTTGAATAAAGCCTATTTCTCATTGGTTTCCATTTAACTTTAGCTATAGATGCCTCTTTCCTTTGCCTTATCAGCCAAACTAGTTAACACATAAAAAAATCTTACTTGTAGATAAAAAATGTAATGAAAAAAAAAAAACAAACAAAAAGAGAAAGTGATACAAACCATTCCCTTTTCTTTTAAACCCATCATAATGCTCTACACCCCACCTCTCCTCTCATTCCTCAGTGGTTATTATTTTTACCTTTCCTTGAAGAGGCCATATTGAAGATATCAAACTTCAGACTAAAATGGAAAAATTAATAAAAGTCTAATAACTTAGACTTCAAAAGCCTAAATAGAAAAAGAAAAACTCTTAAGCCTCTCTGAGTTCCCAAAAAGGCAGCCGGACAGATAAGGCTAAACAAAGAGCTGGGTACAGAGGCCTGGGGACAGATAACACACCCCAGCTGTGTCAGTGTCTCTCAGTCCTAAAGAAGATCAACTGTCAGCTGGAAGTTTTAAAAGTTCCTGGCTCAGGAGATAATTAACAAACTTATTTCCTTTACAGGTTCCTGGTTAATTGCATCCTGCCTAAACAAACAGTTATTGCTTCATCCTATGTAACAATAAAAGCTTTGTAATCTGAAGACATCCAGTTTTTTTTTAACCTTCCTTTTAACCCCCCCACCCCTCAGCCAGAAAGCAGGTTTCTGCTTGTTCCCAAATGGGCAGTATTCACGGTGCAGCTTGTAACAAAAAGAAACCCTTTTTTTCCCCCCTTCGGTGTGTGGCTTCCTCAGTGGTAGATTTTTGGGATTCTGCAAACTGGGCATAACAAACCACAGCTGCCTAGCTGCCTGTAATTTGAATAACTACAGTCCTGTGAAAGCCCCAAGCTAGAAGCTCCAGCTAAACCCACAGTACCCTGAGAGGACTAGATTGTCCTAATCAACCAGGAGTCAGGGGGTTTTAGAAAGCAATGAATAATCGTAAAAGAGGAACTAGGAAATCATTTTCTCTGTTTCTCTGATTTCTCTAGGTCTCACTCTTCCGGTTTATTAATGTTAACCTTAATTTAGTGTTTCCTTAATTTTTGTGTTAGGAGCTGAGTTTTTTTGGGAGGTTAGTGATGTATCTGGTCTCCCTCTGTTTTGTGTTCTTTACCTTGTATTTAGAACAACTGTTGACAATACTACTATTAATATGCAGTTTTTCTTTGTGCTTTTAAGGTAAGTCACCTGGGACCAATGTTTTCTTTCTAATAGCCACTGTGTTAGTTAGGGTTTCTAGTACCATTAAGAGACACCAAGACCATAACAACTCTTATAAAGGAAAACATTTAATTGGGGCTGGCTTACAGTTAAGAAGCCTAATCCACTTTCATCGTGGCAGGAAACATGGCAGTGCACAGACAGTCATGGTGCTGGGAAAAGAGCCAGGAATTCTACATCCAGATGGCTAGGCAGCAAGAAGAGAGAGTGACACTGGGCCTGGCTTGAGCATTTGAAACCTCAAATCCCACCCTCAATAACACACTTCTCCAAAGAATCCATACCATCCCCCACAAGGCCATACCTCCTAATAGTGCTACACCTTAAGAGCCTATGTGGGCCATTGTCAATCAGACACCACAGTCATAAATCAATACTACCACCAAACTCTGGTGCCTTCTTTATTTAAGTCAATTCTCTCGTGAAGATCAGAGTTAGAGTTAGAAGATAGGAAGTTGGTATGTCGGCATCAACATTTTAATCCTAATTTTGCCATTCAATTATGCATAGATGAACAGGATGTATAGGGTGTATATTAAAAGACCTGCTTCAGGAATAATACCTGTTTCATAACAGTAAGATGAGGCATGTAGTAAAGACCTAAAGAAGACAGGTATTCATACAACCTCTATCGTCAATCCTATAACCATAAATATCAGGCCTCAGTTACACATTTGTCAATTCAAATAAAAATTCAAAAATAATTTATTATTAAATAGCATTAAAACAAATGTTTAAAGTTTACTATCATTGCTAAAATTGAATATTATAATTTCACACCATGAGTACATTTTTTAAAATTCATTTTTTTATTACTGTGTGTGACAAGCATGTGGCTGTCAGAAGATACCATTAAGGAGTCAGGTCTCTTCTTCCCCCTTTATATGAGATCTGTGAATCTAACTTAGGTCACCAGGCTTGCAAGGCAAGAGCTTTTACCTGATAAGCTATCGTGCCAGCTTGAAGAGGGCAAATTAAGACTGAAAATTTCACTAAGCTTCCTACAACATTAATTTTTTTTATTCCAGTTCTAAGAACAGTTGGAATTGGCTATGGATAATTCATATGATTTCAATGAACAAGGTTCACGGAATGGAATCTCATCTGGGAAGAAAAAGAATTTCCTTGCGTCAGAAGATCATGGACAGAAAATTTTAAGTGTACTACAGAGTTTTAGAGAACAGAATGTCTTTTATGATTTCAAAATAATCATGAAAGAAGAAGTAATCCCATGTCATCGTTGTGTGTTGGCGGCATGCAGTGACTTTTTCAGGTACTGTACACCATCTGTGCTTTAGACTTTACATGTGGAAATTACATTGTATTTTGCACTGCCCCCTAACATGCTATAGTAATATTTAATAATTATAACTAATTTACTAATAGCACTTGAATACGGAGTCTTAAGCTATAGCTATAAAAATAGAGTCTTCCCAAGACACCATTCCCAAAGTTCTTTAACACTAGTTCCTTGAGATATTCTGGGTGGGGGGTGGAGTTCATAGAAGCTGAGTGTAAAGAAAGTAACCAAGAAGAAAATTATTTAGTTGTGTCCATGCCATATCCCCAGGAAGGAACTCGAGCCCAGAGGACTTAAAATTTCTCCAGAAGGATGAAATCTCCCATGTGGTAGATCATGCCTATAATCTCAGCATTCAGCTGGCTGAGGAAAGAGGATTGCCATGATGATAGTGGGTCTTTGATACATAAGGTTAAGGTCTGATATATTTTCATAGTACTGGGGCAATTGTCTCCTGGACAGTAGAGAGACCAGTATCTTTTGCTGACACCCTGCAGTCAGCCCTCCTAGTTATACTGCAGTAAACTCAAATCCTTGCTTCAGTATTCTGCATTATGTCTAGTTCTGAAATAAAATTTAAGTAGGGTTTTAATCTCTCAACATATTTGCTAAAAATGGTGTAAGATTTAGTGAAGCAAAATGGGAATTATACTGACTGCATTTACAATTTTTTAAAATTGGGGACTAAACCCAGGGCCTTGTGCTGTTTTGTTTTTAGTCATTAATTCAAAACCTGCTTTTTATAAATATGTAATTAACCAGGCAGTGGTGGTCCACACCTTTAATCCGATCACCTGGGAGGCAGAGGCAGATGGATCTCTATAAATTGGAAGCCAGCCTGGTCTACAAAGCAAATTCCAGGACAGCCGGGTCTGTTACACAGAGAAGTCCTGTCTCCAAAACAAACAAGCAAACAAACAAACAAACAACACATTTAACTCAAGACTGCTATACTTCCATTAACATGTAATTCAAGACTTACTACTGCCACTATAGTAAATTATATAAACTAGACTTTGTTTTGCAAGCATTTCTTGCCATCTTCTACTGATTGAACACCTATATTTGTGTGGCTTTACTTTGAATTTGAAATTCAGTAATGCACAATGTCCTTGGCCAGGGAGGCTCCAGCACTCTTGAATTAGCTGTTTGCTTACTTAACTGTAACTTTGCATCTCTGCTTTTTGTTTCTTCATATACTCTTAGTTATTCTTTGAACTCCTTTGGGGCCCTGGTGTTAGACTGTACTACTCCCAAGCCACCTTTGTCTTCCCTGCTTATTTTGAACACAACTTTCCTTCCAGTAACTTTTTGCATCCCTTATAAACGTGGCCTTTTGGTTACAGGCATCTATCTAGTTAATGGTTAAATACTTAGTTTCTTAGTATATATGCCCTAATCTAAATCCCAGGTCAACAGCTTAGTAGTCATGTGACTTTAGGTAAATCACTTACCTTCTCCAGACCTAGGTCTACTGACAGTTGACCAAGAAATTAAAAATAAAACTAGGGACTAATATGTAGGTTATAGAAGTTATAAATAAAATAATGTATACTTAGCATATTGTATTTTAGATTTAGTTAATGTTAGTCAATAAAGTTCTTGTTTTGTAACGTTGAAAAACACAGAAAGATCCTAAATATATAGTTGATTTCACTGCAGTGTTTTCAAGCTAATATGACAAGTTCATGTAAGCATTTGAATTTCCAAGCATCTACTCTTACAAACTTATTTTTAATTTAGTATTTTAGTAGGTTGATTGATTGACAGTTTTTTTACATCTGTATAATGTATTCTGGTTACCATATACCCATGCCTTATCTCTTTCTACCTATATCAATGTCCCTGCGTCCCCCACCTGTCGCTTCGCAGTGCTTTCTTTTTTGACCAATTTAGTTTAACAAGGGCTGTTTTGAGTGACTGCTGGAATGATTGGGCATTTAAATGCTTTAACACATAGTAGTTTTTCTTTTTTATTTAAATTAGAAGCAATCTTATTTTATGTATCAGTCCCGGTTTCCTCTCCCTCCTATTCTCCCATGTGCCCCAGTAACCCCCATCCCATCTCTCTTCTGCTCCATAGAAAGGGTGAGGCCTTCAATGGGGGATCATCAAAGTCTGACATATCATTTGGGGCAGGGCCTAGGCCCTCTCCCATGTGTCTAGGCTGAGAGAGTATCCTATTTTGGGGAATGGGCTCCCAATGTCCGTTCATACATTAGGTATGAATGCAGTTCCATTACCAGGGGCCCGATAGATTTCCCAGGCCTACTAAATGATACCCACATGCAGAGGGCCAGGTTCCGTCCTATGCTGGTTTCCAAGCTATCAATCTGGGGTCCATGAGTTCCCCTTGCTTAGGTCAGCTGTTTCTGTGGGTATCCCCAGCATTATCTTGATCCCTTTGCTCATCACTCCTCCCTCTGCAACTGGATTCCAGGAGTTCAGTTCAGTGTTTAGCTGTGAATCTCTGCTTCTGTTTCCATCAGCTACTGGATGAAGGCTCTATGAGGGCATATAAGGTAGCCATCAATCTCATTATAGGGAAAGGGCATTTAAAATAAGTCTCTCCCCTATTGCTTAGATTCTTAGTTGGGGGTCATCCTACTATATCTCTGGACATTTCCCTAGAGCCAGATTTCTCTTTAAACCTATAATGGCTCCCTCTATTAAGGTATCTCTTTTCTTGCTCTCTAGTCTTCCCCCGACTGAATCTTCCTGGTCCCTCATGTTGTCCTCCCCCTTCCTCTTAGGATTGTTTGGTCTTTAGGTGGCTAGCTTCTTTGTATATTTTGGAAAACAGCCCACTGTCAGATGTGGGGTTGGTGAAGATCTTTTCCCATTCTGATGGCTGACATTTTGTACTGTTGACTGTGTCCTTTGCCTTACAGAAGCTACTCAGTTTCAGGAGATCCCATTTCTTAATTGTCAATATCTGTGTCTGTGCTACTGGTGTTATGTTCAGGAAGCGTCTCCTGTACCAATTCATTCAATGGTACCTCTCTTCTAAGAGGTTCAGTGTGGCTGGATTTATGTTTAGTTATTTTATCCATTAGGACTTAAGATTTATGCATGGACATGGATCTGTCTGTAGTCTTCTATATGCCAGCATCCAGTTATGACAGCACCATTTGTTAAAGATACTTTCTTTTTTTCCATCGTATACTGTTAGCTTCTTTGTCAAAATTCAGGTGTTCGTACATGCATGGGTTAATATCAGGGTTTTCAATTCAATTCCATTGATCTACCTATTCTTGTGCCAATACCAAGCTGTTTGCAGGACTATGACTCTATAATAGAGATTCAAGTCATGGATGGTGATGCATTCAGAAGTTCCTTTATTGTACAGGGTTGTTTTGGCTATCCTGATTTTTTTTTTCATATTAAAGTTGAGTGTTGTTCTTTCAAGGTCTGTGAAGAATTGTGCCAGTATTTTTGATGGGGATTGCATTGAATCTGTAGAGTCTTTTTGTGTCACTTATGTAAACTACCATATCATCTGCAAATAATGAAATTTTGACTTCTTCCTTTCCAATTTGTATCCCCTTGATCTCCTTTTAGCTAGAACTTCAATTACAATATTGAAGAGATATGGAGAGAGTGGACAGCCTTGTCTTGTTCCTGATTTTAGAGGAATTGTGTTGAGTTTCCATTTAGTTTGATGTTGGTTTGCTGTCTTTTGCTTTTATTATGGTTACGTAGTTTGCTGTTATCCCTGATCTCTCCAAGACCTTTATCATGAAGGAGTCTTTGATTTTTCAAAGGCTTTTTCATCATCTAGTGAGATGATCATGTGTTTCTTCTTCTTCAGTTTGTTTACATTGATGTATTTTTGTTTGTTGAACCATCCCTGCTTCCCTGGGATGAAGGCTGCTTGATCATGGTGGATGGTTTTCTAATGTGTTCTTGGATTCCATTTGCCAGTATTTTATTGATTTGTTAGATATTAGAATTGCTACACCTGCTTGTTTCTTGGGTCCATTTAATTGGAAAATCTTTTCCCAACCCTTTACTCTGAGGTAATGTCTGTCTTTTAATTTGAGGTGTGTTTCTCATATACAACAGAAGGATGGATTCTGTCTTCGTATCCATTCTGTTAGCCTGAGTCTTTTCATAGGTGAATTAAGACCATTAATATTAAGGGATGTTAACGACTATTGATTGTTCATTCCTGTTTGTTTTGGATTTGGTGGTGGTAATGGTGGTGGTATTGTGTGTGGATCCTCACTCCCCCACCTTTTATTTTCTTTTAGCTGTTGGTAAAGTGAGATTATCTATTGCCTATGTTTTTGAGAGTGTAGTTAACTTCCTTGGGTTGGAGTTTTCCTCCCAATACTTTCTGTAGACCTGGATTAGTGTATATGTAATGCTTAACTCTGATTTTGTCATGGAATATATTGTTTTCTCCATCTACAGTAATTGAGCTTTCTGGGAATAGTAGTCTGGGTTGGAATCCAGGGTCTCTTAGTGTTTGTAGAACATCTATCCAGGACCTTCTGACTTTCAGAGTTTCCATGGAGAAGTCAGGTGTAATTCTGATAGGTTTGCCTTTATGTGTTACTTGGCCTTTTTTCCTTTGCTGCTCTTTATATTTTTTCTTTATTCTGTATGTTTGGTGTTTTGATTATTATGTGGCGAGGGGACTTTTTTTTTGTAGTCCACTCTATTTGGTGTTCTGTAAGCTTCTTGTACCTTTCACTGGCATGTCTTTCTTTAGGTTGGGAAAGTTTTCTTCTATGATTTTGTGGAATATGTTTTCCGGCCCTTAGAGGTGGTTTTCTTCCCCTTTTTCTATACCTATTATTCTTATGTTTGGTCTTTTCACGTTGTCCCATATTTCCTGGATATTTTGGGTTATGGATTTGTTGGACTTAAGATTTTCTTTGGTGGATGAATCAATTTCTCCTTATGTATCTTCAATGCCTGAGATTCTTTCTTCTGTTTCTTGTATTCTGTTGGCTATCTGTAGTTCC